AGATTCCGATGACATGACAAGAAAAGTCTGAAAATTTCACATGACTCGCTATCTGAAATGTCTGATGATGGGGATAAGCATACAACGAAATTAGCACCCCGCTGGCAACCTACTCTAATGGAAGTGTGCGCCAAACGAAACTATTTATCTTATAAAATACTCATTTACGACTACACTACATACATCCTTTGATCATCATTGATTCATAAACTATTTTACATCACAGTTAGGTGAATTTTTTATTTAAAAATTCCACTGTTATCAGTAGTTCCAAGAAATACCAATTCGACAGCATATCTTCATAATGGCAAGCAACAAATAACTCAACTTTATGAGCCATTGCGCCAGTCAAAGTCCCATTTCAATTTGAATAACACTCGTGGCGAGTGTAGGAACCAACTCAAGATATGGGTGGAATGGGAAGACCCTTGAGAGATAAGACCTCAATTGAATCGGGCAAAATGTTCAGCATTATTTAATGGCAAAGATCGCTGCTCCGCCCTCTAAGGTCTGTGGTAAGGTGTCTACAGCAGACAGAGCAGCCTCACACACACAGTCATCACAGTCGTTCAATGGAGAATATGCCGAGACACAGTCCGCAACGAAGTCAATTAAGCGACAGTTGAAAAGGCAATAAACAGGCAACAGTCGCAAAACAATAAAAGTTGATAAAAAAAAAATAGGTTCAGTTCATGTGAAAGGAAGGGAAAAAACAAGTTTGATCGTTTGGAAATAGAGAACAAGTGGGGAGCCCAGATGGGTGACGCGCCACCATGGGAACCTACACTAAGCTATGGGTATTTATCAAATATATAACTAAACCTGCGGCTAACGCCGCAATGAAATGAAATCATATTCGAAATTGTATTGATTGCTCCATTAGATCATTGCCTTCAGGGTCGATTTATGGGGAATTATGTCATGGCAAATAAAACTATCAGCGATCGCTGCGGCACGGTAGACAACAATTTGCATGTCAAACGAGTAAACGGATTCAATTGATTTGATATTCGATTCGGGTCTGGTCTGGTCCTCCTCGTAGGCCTGCGGCTTGGATCTGAGCAGCAGCTGTTCCATTAGTTAGTTTAACGCTAATTGATGAATGGACAGCCAGACGATCTTCGACTAATTAGGCTCCCCTTCGACCCATTCTCAAAAATGTATTCTGTGGGCGTTGCTTGCTGAGCAGCGGAACTTTAATTACCGACCCCGGCTCGAAAGGGGAAAGATCAGAGTAGCTGGGAGTTACTGTCTGATGTAATCTGATTGTTTCATGGTGTGTGCGAGTAGTTGATTGTGTTGTGTACATCGCTTATCAGAGATGCCACACACGAGATAGGGTCCCGTCGACATGGGGAAACCATCTGCCAGGCCAGGCCAGTACAGTGTGAGAACATTCGGCTAATGGAGCGCAACTAAACGAGTTTGATGGTGCATCCAGTGAAGTGCAGGGGCACTCTGCGTATGGCCACAAAAACTTTGTCCCAATGCCCGCCTCAATTAGACTCATCTAACGCTAATAAAATGCAACTCTAATGCAAGCGGACACGCCTCCATTTCGCATGCAAAAAGCGCAGTCTTGGAGCCATTTGAACTCCAGCGACCGCGTCACACCCCATGGCGAAACAGAGGGAGACAAGTTCTGGCTCGGCTCTCAACCTCAATGGAGTTCTCTGACTGCCAAGTGCATGTCGCTCCCAATAGACGGAAACACTACAAAAACGTAAAACTTGTCAGACGGGGAGAAATAATAAAAAAAAAACAAGTAGAAACAATGGAGAAAGAGTGTGACGACTAATGGATACCTCTGCTGCCAGGAACTGCACTCGCTGTAGAGAAGAGATAGGATGAACCCAAATACCCCAACTGACATCGAATGCAGGGTACAGCCACGCAGCAAGAAGACGATCCCGAACGCTTGAGTGCATTTTCCAGGCCGACAAGCGCAACCACAACAACAACCCCTTTGAATGATTCTGGCCAAGAACTAGAAAATGTTTGATTACGTTACAAGTACATATATTCATTCGAGGGAAATTCAAATGGCTGCGTTTTTTTGGGGTTGGATCCAGCCCACCCCCTCCGCCGATGGCACAAACAAAATTGTAAACAGAGCAGCGACCGGCAAAAGAAGAAGACATGGAGAGAGACAGCGACACAGAGAGACTGAATAAATGCAAGAGCGTAAAACTCGACTGTGTCTCTCTCGGTCGCTCTTTTTACCTGTGGTCAGTGTCAGGGCTGGGGGCGCACGCACGCACGTTTTTAATATAGGTGTCCGTGTATGAGTAATACCCTGCCGGATTGAATGAATGACAGATAGAGCAGGAGGTGGAAAGCAACGGCACATGGAAGCGAGTGTCGTCACCCACCACTAAAAAAGTGTTGACCAACACGACACCCCCGTCTGCCCCGTTATACATCATATATCGATTTTTTGTCAAGCGCCGAAAGATAAAACTCAAGCATTTGCTAATTAGAAAAAGTCTTGGTACAGCGACTAAGCATTTACGATAAAACACAAGGCCAAGTATGGATGGCGAGAGCCAGTAGGAGGAGAGAGAGAGAGACGGAGAACGGAACAGATAAAGAGATTACTCTATTCGTTCTTACGTTGATTAGCAGCAAAATGCGTCAGCGGGCACGCACACATCACTCTCACAGTTTTATAAACAAATTATTAAATTTGTTTACCCGCCCCCGACTCCAACAAAAGGCATCGGCTGTTCCACACAAAATTCCACTCACAGAATATACTTTCGGACTACGGTGGGAGGGCGAGGCCGAGATCAACTAAAGGAACAAATGAGGCTTTCTGTTTGACCGATTCCACACACACACACACACACACATCACAACATTGCACTTTTGTGTTGAATTTGCCGATGTTTGCTAAATTCCTTCTCTGCTTCGTATTTTTGCCACTCTGTGCACTGTCACCGCGTTTTCTTACACAATTTCTTCTTATTTTACACATTTTGCCCTCGTTCGTGACTCATAAAAAGGAGCAGCAGCTCGAAAAGGGCAAACCAAAATCCAAAAGAAGTGCAGTGTGAGAGAGCAGGAGAGCGCATGTCAGGTTTGCGCCGATGAAAGAAGGAGAGAAGCCTAACGTGGCGAGAGAGAGAGCAAAAACCAGCCTGGATGATAGGGCCATGGAAAGGACGTTGGAGAGGGGTGGTTAAGTAAGTGCAGCAAACGTTTTTCCTCTGCTGATTCTTCTGTTTCTCTCTTTTTGTTGTTGCTGCGTCCACTATGGTAATTTTCACAATTCACTGTTATGTGTGTACATGTACATATTTATATTTTCCACAATTTCCCTTTTGGTCGCTTTTCATTTGTTGTTGCACTCTACTCTACTATGTTTCTTTCATCACATCACGCAAACGCTTAGAGCAATAATTTATGGCAATTTATTTTGTGGCTGCTTTCATATTCAGTTTGAATGAACTGCACTTTTTTCGCGGTTCGCTTTGGCCGACGCTTTCGGTTTACACACTTTACATTATTCGCTTGGTACGGTTGTTGCTGTTGCACTTCTTGAAAACCGTTACACTTGTGCAATTTACCCAAAAGAACAAGCAGCAGCAGCAACAACAACGGGAGCCGATTTAATGACCCGTCTACACTCACACTTATACGAGACGCAGACACACACACTAACCACTGACAAACACTAACACACGCTGCAAGTGCAACGGGCGCAACGACAACAAAATTCACGTGCTCAAATTGAATTCGTCCCGTCCCTCGGTACGCGGTACGGTGTACGTTGTGGCGAGCTAACGGTGCAAGGAACGACTCAAAGCGGAATCAGTGATAGCAAGCAAGCCAAAAACAAACAGGCGGAGCGCGAAATTATCGATACAATATACCGTCAGGGCCTCGTAAATATACCAAAATATACCATTGAACCTTCAAAATATACCGTAATTATACCGTAGTTTTAAATCAGATTCCTCGATTTTGATGTTCTATTTGATATTACTAGCTTGCAAAGACCTCACCACTGAAACAACAATTTAATCCGATTGAAGAATCAATTTAGCTTTAGCATAAATAGTCCTTTTTATTGGATTGTATACCTTATATTTTACAAATTTGTATTTTAGTTTTCCAGTTAAATCACCCTCTCTGAAAGCACGGGAGCTTTGTCTTCAGTATGTAAATGTATGTAAACTATTAACAGAGAAACATTTGGAAGAGCCATGTTAACTGATAACATTGAAGAATTTGAAAAATAGCGCCATGTTCTGGATCGAATCAGTCACCACATCAAATGACTTAGGAGTCCTTTTGATATTTATATCCATTTTGCTTCAACGGTTAACAAAGCTAAGGGAGGCAAGCGTTTATTATTCTTATAATTATTACAGACAAGCAACCGATTTTATTCTCCCATCTCAACAGGAAAATAGACTAAGAGACTAAGCACAAATTAAATATTTTCGACCGAACTTAAAAAATGAATCTCTTGATTTATTTGACACAAAAAAATAAAAGCTATCGACTAAAGTTACAATTAATTAGTCGATATTGAATATTATTGACCATGCGGCAACTTTTAAACTTGTATAATTCAAAAAAGGCACCAAATGCTCAACTCTTTTAATCAAAATACTAATATCAAAAATTAATATTAATTTTAATTAAAATTGTGTCCTCCTCGCCATGGAGTCGTCCCAATAAACTTTGCTTGCATGCTGTGGCATATGGGCTCTCAGGAATTAGAAGTCAACTCAAAGTCTTAGTTAAATATATTTTTATTGAACAATAAAAACTAAAAACATGTTTTGTATTTTCTTGGCCAATGACAAAACGAAATAAAATTTGATAAAAATTGGTGGCAAAAACTTGCTCAAAATAATTGTAATTTTGTTTGTATAAAACATACATTATACATTGTACATGCATATGTATAAATAATTGTGTTTATTATTAATTAACTTAATTGCATTTGTTTTTGTTTTTGTTTTTGTATTTGTTTTGCTTTGCTTTGCTTTGCTTTGCTTTGAATGGTATTTTGTATCGAGTTGAAGCGCTTAAAAACTAATTGTTAGACTCCTGAAAGATTTGTATCGAAAAAGATCCTATTGTATGTCATTATTGCCATTGAATTTGCCATTCAAACTCAACTCTGAATCGGGTTTGGTTTTTGTTCATCTCTGGTTTTATGTTTGTTTGTTGTTGAAATAATATTATGTATAATATGTATCGTATTTGTATTGTATATTTAAAGTCACATTTAGAACTTGTTTGATTTGTATTCATTAAACTTGATTACTTGCTGTTTTCGTTTTAATTTTTGTTTTTCCTAATAACAATTAAAAAGATCACCAAAGTTACAGATTTCCCATATTTACGTTGCACAATTAACTTTATTTTGAATGCCGATTTATGTATTGTATTGTATGTATTTTGTTTATTCCACTTAGATTAGAACTAATATTATGTATTTTATTTATTATTTATTGATTAGTTACCCGGCATTTTGGTTGATTTTAAAGTAATTTTTAAGGGGATGTTATGTCAGATGATGATCTCATTTATCGAAGATTGGTTACGCGATATATGTATATTTGTGTATATTTATGTATGTAAGTATGTAAGGATTATGTACGATTTTCTAGTCGAATTTCAGCTAAGGGTTAACTATCTCCGATGGCTGGCGAGTGCGTGCGTGTGCGTGTGGGTGTGGGTGTGAATGGACTGCGGGACTGATTGGAAGAGTATATAGAGTACACACACACATATATATAAGTATATGTCAGTTACATTAGTTGGAGGAGATACATATGCAGATACATATATGGAACCTACATAATTGCTTGGTGTTTTTTAGTCCTTATCATTTCTCGATTTCTCTGGCTAATTGGTAATTGTGGCAAATAGATTTTGTTTGTATTTTTATTTTATTTTTATTTCCTTTAGGAAGAGTTGTGCAAATTGCTGTTCTAGCTTCGATTTTGTTCTGATTTTATCCCTATTTATGTACACATAGTATATATGTAACTATATGTTGTATATAATTGTAGACATCTATAAACGGCACATTTATAAGTAATATACGTAGAAACAATACGATCCGTTCCGATCCTATCCCACTTTAGGCAGATATTCCATCCCATCTCACCAACTTGCAACTTGCATTTCCGTATCGTTTACGTTGTTTTTTGTTTTTTTTGTTTTGTTTTAGTATAAAGCTCAATTGAATTTTGACAGATTATGTGGTAATTTAAATTGTCTTTCTGTATGTTGTTTTATCCCCGACCCCGACTTATGCGTAGAACTTAAGATACAGGACGTTCTACACTGTTCTTCTGAGTCTTCTCCTGATTATTCTTCAACCTCTTCTTCTCTCCTCCACCTCCACTCTTCTTCTATCTGCGATAGCTGCCACACTGAAGAAACCGTTAAATTGTTTTATATGTGTGTATGTTACGTGTGTGTGTGTATTGCTTGAAGATGGAAATTGTAGTGTATCTACATTTAAATCTCGTAAAAGATACATGTCTAAAACTATGTAGATACATTGGCCTTTTTCTTGCATGGATGTGGATGGTCTGGTCTCCATAAAGATTCCGTCTAGCAATTAGTTAAAGCTTTTGGACTTTTCCAAATGATTCAAATTCTAGGATCATTCTACAACTACGAGATGCATTCATTGTCATTGTCGGGCACACACTTTCACTCTGCGCTCATCAGCTTCTGCTTAAACCTAGACAAGATTATCGTACATGTATGAACCTCGTCGATATCCCTTTTTCCTTTTTGCATTGTGATTCGTTTTTGCGTTTTGCTTAAAATTAGGATTGGATTCCGCTTGGGCATGATGGGGTGGGCAATAAACATTCTCTTTAAGTAAACATTTAGTTAAGAAATAAATTTTAAATTGTAATCCCTTGTGTTGAAACGAATCGAATGGAAGCGACGTTTAAATTACAAATTGAATTCCAAATAAATCAGCTCTTCGATCAGATCAGAAATGTTATTTCTCTCGCTCTCTCTCTCTCTCTCTCACTGAGGATTACCGACTAATTTGTAAGAGTTTTATAAATGTATGCATGCAAATTAATGTATATTTTTATATATAAACACAGAAATATATATATATATATATATTATATTTTACAATTCTCACATCAGTTATGCGACTGACAAAACTAAGCCTAATTGGATGATTGTGTGTTGGGGGTTTGTTTGCGTGGGTTGTACTCGTACATAGCATACAATACATAAGTATAAGTATAAGTATAAATAAGGTGCTGGTGCAGAAGGGACGGCGAGAGATGGCTCTCCTCCTGCATAGCATTTTTAATAACAAATCATTATAATGTTAACTTGAACTGTGTCCTCGATATAGAACATGTGTTATTCATCTTTCCATATTGCATTTCTTTTTCTCTTGTCGTTTGTTTTGTTTTTGTTGTTGTGTTGTATTTGATTAATGGCAAAATTAAAACTACTTTGTAAAATATTGAAATGTTCTTGCCCACCACCCCCCCCCCCCCACACAGCACAGTGCAGTTGAGGGAGTGGGAGTTGGAGTTGTTTTTAGCTTGTTTTATATTACCCGTACACCACTTGGCTAAAAGTTAATTTTTTAATACGAAATTACATATTGGTGCTCTCTCGCCCCAGCAATGCGAGGAAATAACAAATAATTGGGGTTTTGCTCTAAAAAAATTTAAAATATTAAATACAATTAAATATCGTTAAGTTAAGCTTACGGTTTAAGGTACATAAATAAAGGGTGGGTGGACACTTGAGTGATATGCCTGGGGGGGACTTGGTGTGTGTGTGTGTGTTTTACGGGCGTTTGGCGTCTTGTCTCGATGAGCATAAAAAAAGATTAACTAAAGACTAACACAAAATATCAGCATATTATTTGCACTTTTGAACCAAATTATAAATTGTATAAATGTATAATTGATGTATGTATTTGCTTAAGTATTTCCGGTAGCCCATTCGTAACAGTTTCTGTTGGTTGGTTTCTTGATTATTGCCCCGATTCTTTAAAAAACATTCTAATTAGTATTACTGTGTGTTTGTTGGATGTTCATAAATCTATGTAAATATTAATAGCAATTGTTATTAACATACGTTTTGTCCCTTGTAGAAATTGGAGTTATCGTTATGCCGCCGCTCATACTGTCCGTCCGTCTTCACTTCTATGATTTTTTGGTAGAGCCCCATCTTACAAACTATTAAATGTTTTCAGTTGAATCTGAACTCTAGTTATTGAAGTATTTTATCCGTTTTTTTTTTTCGTTTCGTATATGCTAAGTTGTGTTTCAGCGCTTTAATGCCTTAGTCGAGTCGAGTGTCCCCCACACACAATAATTATTGGTGTTTAGTTTATTCCCTTAAATGTTCATCTTCATCTTCATCTTCATATTAATTTGCATTTTCATTTTGGTGGTGGTCTTCGTTCACAGTACAGAGAATCAGAGTTTTCATTTTGTTGTCGTGTGGTTGTGGTTGTGTTCTTGTTGTTGTTGTTGTTGTAATTGTGTGAGTCTTCGATCAGCAAACATATTCAATTGTTTTTTGTGTGCTTTTTCGTTTTTCTTTCGTTTTTGTATACTAAAAACCTTTGGTTGTATGCATTCCACATTCCATTCCATTCCATTCATCCATTCCCACGATTCATTCCCCCGTGTCTTCGATTTGTTAGTTGTAAAAATATATTGTACAATTTATTATTATATTTATAATTGGATTCGTTCGCCCTACCCCCACATTTACAAAAATTCTGTCTATCTCTCGTGGTGTTTTTGTTGTTCTTGTCGTAAGTTTGATGATAGATAATAATGCTGCTGCTTGGCTTTTGGTGTTGCGTTCGTAGTTTTGTTCCCTTTAAGTTTAGTTTTCTTTTGTTGAATTGTTTTATCATTTTTGTTGTTATTTGTTTGCTACGCTTTTGTTGAGAATTTTTCACATTTTGTTGTGCATTAAACATTCGATTCCCTTCCCTTCCCGATACCCTATCCCCTATTCCTATAATCAATTCATCACGGTGTCGTGTCGTGTCGCTTGTGTGTGTGTGTTTGAGTGTTTGCTGTGGGATTTTTGTTTGTGTTGTTTTGGTCTAAAACTAATGCATGCAAGATACTCCTTAAATACTCTCTCTCTCTCTCACTTTAGCAACTTAAACATTAAACTGTCAACTTAACAATAACTCTCTCGCTTGCACGCTCTCTCCCTCTCTCGAACTCTCTTTGCTTGGCTTTTCTGTTGTGAGTAGGGATTTGGGAGTAGGTTTTTTTGGGATGGTGGGGAGGTTCTCTCTCACTATATCTCTTGGCTTATTCGAATTGAATTTCGAAATTGATTTATGATTTTTTCGTTTGGGGTTTTTTTGGGGTAATTTTTTCTTTTATGGTTTCTTGGGAGGTTTTTGGTGTTGGTATTGGCTACTTTTTAGGCAAAGTACATGACCTTCTTGGTGTCCGCATGGACCGTGATGGCTCTGGCCATGGCTCCCGGTGTCCGATCCTCTGAGCAGCCGCTCTGGTGTGAACCCTCGCCCGAGTCGTGCTCCTTCTCCACCAGATGATACCTGAAGCCATAATTATTTGAATTAGAGTAACCGCAACACGCTGAAGGGTATTTTTGCAACTCACCTGGCACGGAATGCCACCAAGTGGGCATAGTAGGCTGGAGCTGGTATGCTGACGGACCGTGTGCACCGCACATAGGTGTGGCACAGCTGATACGTGAGGCACTGCAGCTCGTCGGAGTCAAAGTGATTGTCATCCCAGAGCACATGGTAGTGCGAGGGTCGACTGGTGCCCTGGATACCCTGATGGCTGCACAGATAGAAATCAAACTCGGTTGGATGCGTGATGCCCACGTCGACGGTGGTGCCGGCCGGTATGTTGCCGGACTTGCCGCTCTGCTCCTTCTTCTCGGCGCAGAAGAGTCGCGTGTGATGGCGCTTCTGGACAACGATGAATGTTATGCCCGGCCGGTACTCGGGCTCCAGCTTGATGCACGCCTCTCGGATGGCGGTCAGCTCGTGCTGCAGCACATGCGGGAACTGTCCCTCGGAGACGCCGTCACGGTACAGAATGATTCGGTGGGGCTTGTAGCCACCCGTCGACTTGTAGAACATGATCAGCAGCTCGCGCACCATACTGCTCAGCTCCTGGATGATCTCCTGGCGGTGTTGCTGCACGCGCACGGTGGCCGCATATCGCGACGGATGGGCGTCCATTGAACCAACAACAGCCGCAATAGAGGGCTTCTTGTTATCGCCGGCTGGTGGGTGGGTGACGTCAGCTCCCAGAAAGATAACGGGCTCGTTGAAGACCTTGGGCCGGATGGAGGGCACCAGAATCGAATTGATGCCGCCCAGCTTGACGTTGATCTTCAGACACAGATTGGACAGCGTCTGTGGCGATGTCTTGTTCACGTTCTTCGCCTGTACACACTGGGTGGCCATGCCCAAGACGGTGTCGCCCACGCGCTTGACCTCTGCATAGACGGGCGTCTTGCCGGGCAGCACAACCACGACGAGCTGCAGGCCCGGGAAGGTGATTTTCAGGTAGCGGAACATCGGCTCCACCTGATCCGGCCCCGTGGCATATTTGCAGAAGCAGGGCTGCCCGATGATCGGCATACCGGCATCATTTGAGATCTTCTGCAGCTGCTGGGTGAAGTTCCTCAGGGCATCCTCGCGCACCGTTCGCTGCGGAGCGAAGCAGGCAATGGCCCAGATTCTGATCTCGACGCCCGTGAAAAACTGCTTGCCGCGCATGTCCCAGACGCCCTGGTTGGGCGAGGCCAGGCTCACCTTATTCTGGGGCGGAAACAGCTGCTGCCCGGTGATGCCAGTGGACACACGTCCCCCATACTGAAGCTTGGGCGGGGGCAGCACTCGTCCCCTCACCTCCATCATCGAATTGGAGATGGCCAGGCCGAACTCCTGCACATACGAATCATTGTTGAAGTCCGCGCGCTTCACCAGGTTGTTGATCTCACGCTCGCGATCCGGTGCCGAGCGTGCGGTGGCCTTGATCATCGTCGAGGTCTGCATGTCGGTGAGCTTCTTGATGCACCGCTGGCCAGCCACAATGTTGCACACCTCGAGCGGTAGATAGGTGTGCTTGTGCTCCTGTCCCACCTGCAGGCAGGGCAGATGCGGGTAGCGCAGCTTCATTCGATACTTGTCCAAGAAATACTTGGCCACAGTACACTCCACGGTCTGACCATTCTCCAACTGCAGTGGGAATCTGTTCGAAGAGCAAGAATAGAGGGGGTTAGACACTGCTACAGTCCACAGTCTACGGTCCCTGACTGAACTTACGATTGCATTTGAGCCGGTCGGCGGGTTACATTGCAGACACGATACTTGCGACGCATCTGGCCACAGTGCGTGATCTCAATCTTGAGTCCCTTGATCTCCTTGGTGAACTTGACTCGCTGGGAGTCGGTGAGCGGTTTGCGCTGCTCCATGATGTCGCGTATGTCCAGCACCTCGCACATAAAGTCAATAACGGGTTGAGCCTTGTAGAATGCGGTGGCCGAAACTGCACGCAGACAAACAGAAGATTAGCAAACGAGAGGAGAGAAATGAACTGTGTAAAGACGCACCATCAATGTTCAGCATCATCTTCCACTGCGATGGCCTCACGCTCTGATGGAAACCGAACCAGACCTCGCGTCCACCACCCAGAGGATGATAGTAGCCATCCGGAGAGCTGAAGAAGCTCCGGCCGACGGGCGTATAGGTCATGCTCGGCAAATGCCGCATGACCACGTCCAGGGCCAGGATGGCGTCGTATGGAATTTGACGCGTTCGACCCTCTAGAGCCTCCTCCAGGTTGAATAGCGAGACTTGCGCCTGCCACTTGATGGTCACGCGAAAGATGCGGTCCTTGCCCTCACCGGGCAGTGTCACCTCCAGCTCCAGGCGCTCGTTGCCAATGGGCAGGGGATCGCGGGTGTACAGATTGTTGCGTCCGTCGAATACCGGTTTCAGAACGCCAAAGATCTTGCTGTAGGCCTGGACCATGGTCTCGATAATCTCGCGATTCACCTTGCGCGGACACTTGTCCGGCTGTATGTTGATGTCGTAGTGATGGACATAGCCGCGGGGCATCGTCACCTGGAAGTGATTGGCTCGAAGTACGATCGGCCTGCCCTCGCGGCCCAGATTCGGGCGACGCGGGCATGTGAAGACGGGCATATCCGGATTGGTGGTCGGAGTAGCGGTGGCAATTGCAGCCGTCACAGTCCCGGTTGTGGTGCCCAGGGTGGACGCGACCTGAGCGGCGGCTGATGAGGCCGTCGCTCCAACAGTGGCACCCCCAGCTGCCACATTTTGGGCACTTGGGCTGGTCACAGCGGTGGGATTGACCGATGAACCAGGCGCTGGTGGTGCTGCAAGGCCAATTTCGAATTAGATTCATTTCTCTCATTGCTATCGATTGTTATACAGGTAAAAAAAATAAAACAAAAACACTAACTAACGTTAACGTAACGTGTTGAAGACAGTTTTCACATGCATAGTAGAATGGCACGAATCTCCGGAATATCTCCGGTCAACTTTTGATGTTTTACAACACTTTAAAGAATTTAACTGCGATTTAAGCTTCATTTACAATTCAACTAGTTAAAAGGAGACGCAACTAGTGTTCCAGCTAGTGTACTGCTTGCGACTGCTTGTGTACCGTTGAATTCCAAAGAGATTCGCCATCAAACAGTGAAACCAGCATTAAAATGTAAACAAAGCAACAAATGCCATGCAACGGGAACTACAACTCAAGACATTCAAGTGGTCGGAGGAGGAGGTGTTTTAGTCTCAGTGTAGACTGTAAAGTTATACTTCAAGTGCACACACGTGGATAAAAAATAACATTTAATCGTTAGTAAAAACATTGCTAAACAAAGTTAATTTTGTGTTGTTGGGCTTTACAGGTTTAGATAAGAGCAGTGCTAGAATCGTTTAAAGAACATCAACCAAAGAACACACATAAACACAAACAGTTTGTAGCTTTCGAATTAATCAAATTGTATAACAGTTTTAGTTGTATTTAGTAAATTTTAGTTGGTAATTTTTGTTGGAGAGTAATTTACATGTGAGCGTTTCGAAGCTAGTCTGCGCCTGAGAGGGACTCTGAGCCCGCGTGGGCGAGGGCGTCCACTGTGACTCTATAAAAAGAAAATTTAATCAAATAAACGCAAAAATAATTCAAATAATAAATGTGACAGATGATGGCCAATGAATGTTTTTGTTTTGTTTTGTTTTGTTTTGGCAAGTGAATATCCAATCAAAATACCAAATGTGAAATGATGAGATAACCGAAACAAGAGGCGAGAAAAGAAAATGAAATTAGAGTGCAATTAATAACATTTTAGTTACAATTTGTATCGTCATTAATAAATAGTATATAATAATATGTAAAGGTAAGTAAATATGTGTGTTTTTGTCACCATGTCACCATTTTGGGGGTTTTGTGTGTCGGTCTGGTCTGGGGGTAAGCCACCATTTTGTTATTACAATAGTTATTGCACCTCTGGTGCCCCTCTAGGTCGGATTTGTTTTTAATGTTCTACCCTGTAGGATCGGGAATCTTCTTTCGTTACGACGCAATTGAAGACGTTTTCTAGAGGTGTACATCCGCCCGAGCATCTGTCGAGCAGAGCAGACCAGACCCAAGCAACCCCCCAATAGGAAACGAAACCAACTATTGCGTCGCGACGGTCGTTGACCCAATTTTTGCGCATTTTCAGCTCTCTACGCACGTGTCGCGTTATGTAGAGCTTTTGGAGTGGTCGTAGAACATCAAAAACTTGATTTGGGGGTACTGTGCTGGCGGGGCCTTGTGGCAGTCTGGGTTTTCAGTCTTGTTTTGTTTTTTTCTTTCTTAATTTCTTATTTTGCTTAGGCGATCGCCTGGACTTACGTTGACCGACTGGATACATTTTCTTGCACTAAGTTAAGTTTATTTAGGAAAAATTGTTTAATTAATGTATAAAAAGGTTGTTGTTGGCTCGTGTTTGTTTGGATGTCTTGTGTGTTTGGTGTATATGTAATTGATTGTTGTTGATGTTGCTTGTTGCTTTTGGTTTCTACTAATTATTCATAGTTTTTTGTTTTGTTTTTTTTGTTTTAGATTTCAGCCTTTTGCTTATCACACTTTAAAGTAGTTTAAAGTTTTATTCGTTTGGTTGATTCTCCATGTTGTTGTTGTTGTTGTAGTTGCGCGTGGGCGTGGCGTAGGCGTAGTTATTTATAACCTATATATATATAATTATATATATTTATGTATATGTATTGGAATGAGCACAGACTGGCTTTGAAGATCTGTTGGCTCTTTTTGCTTGCATTAACATTAGTTTATTTATATTATTATTATTGTGGTTGTTGTTGTTGTTGTAAGTTTAGTATTGGAAAAGAACACAAATGTAGGCACAGCTTTCGTTTAGTTTATATGTACACTCCTATGTACACACATATGCATGTATATATACACTTATATACATATGTGTATCTAATGCTCTTGTAATACAACTAAGAAAAATTCTTCTTTATTCTCGCATATCTCGCTCGTGAGTGTTTGTGTGTGGGTCCGCCAGTGTGTGAAAATTGCTGCTCTGGCCTGGTGCTCCGCTCCGCTGTGCTCTATACAGCAATAAAACGCTGTTGTATGCGTTTAATATGGCAGCAATATGTGTGCACGTACAATTCTAATCTGATATTTTCGAGACGTGGTTTTTGTGCACCAAACAAGTTCGCGCAGCCCGATCTTAAGCACAAACCGTGGCCAGAATATTGAATTTTGATTTTCCACAACTTTTGTTAGCTTTTCACGTCGCGCATTATGCAAAAAATGCAATTTTCTTCAGGTTTTCCCACAGCAGGCCACACACCGTCCACACAAAAATCGTACTCGCGACGTGTGAGCGTGACGCATGCTGTACACTCTTAACCACACTTAAATGAGGGCAAAGCACTCCGTCTAGACATAATGGGTGCGAGTGGGATGTCAGTACGAGTCGTCAGTGCGTTTGCACTGTATGCAGTTCAGGGTTGCTTTCCATCATTTCAGTGCTGTAAAATGCTGCCCCCTACTCGATAGCTATATATTCAATATCGCTTTTGGAAGCCAACCAGCTGTTTTTCAGGGTGACTATTTTACTAATGTTTTTTATTTTATTATATTAAAATATCATTTTGGCAAATATTAGATACCGAGGATGTATTGATACTGTTCAATACTGTGATACTGTATCAAAACCGAAGCGATTACGGTAGATTTAAAAATTTAAGTTGTATTTTGGTATATTTTTCAGGGTCATTCGGTATATTTTATCAATTATTCCGCGGACACATGCTTCAGTCGTAATGTTAATTCTGTTTTGATTGCAAAACTCAATAAATTTGAAAATGTCGGTTCCATTTAGTGGCACTCTTCGCCGTTCTGGAGGCATTGTCTCGGCCATTGGCAAGCAGCTGAAAAGCATCAACCTAAAGGGCGTGAAGCGCATCACAGTCCAATTCGATCCGTTTGCGGAAAATGTCAAGTCCACCCGGTGAGTGGGAGGGAGAATTGGGAAAAGCGCTTTTCATTTATCGATTACGAAACATGCGCAGTACATGGTACATTTCTGGTCTAATTTCGGTCAGTGTGTAGAAAATTTTTCTCGAAACAAAAGTGCATGAGGAAAACAAAAGTAAACCAAAGAGTGCATTGTGAAGTAAACCGAACGAAAAACCGATAGCCCAGCCCAGCCCCAGAGGGTGAGGCGAATGAAAACTTACCGTAGACCTTGCCAATGATGCCCACGGTGGTGTTGATTTGGAGATCGGGAAATGTCAACGGCAACGTGTGCGTGAGGAGCTGAGCTGGCCCACCGGGAGCCAGCTCGCGCTCCGTTGACATTTTGGTCGGTGTCGGCGTCAGTTTGAGGCGTTGCTGGGCAGCTGAAACGAAGGGGCGAAAAAGTGCACAAAATCAATATACTAATTGCCTTTTCCATCTTTTCCATATTTTGCAGAGAATTCTTCTTCTTGCTCTCCACACCCAAGGTGGTCCAGACAAATCCCAAGTGCGTGGTCAAGTCGGATATTGTGTGTGACCGTCAGCCGGCTTCGATAAAGTTTTCCCTGATTGATGCGGCACAAGGTTGAGAATATTGCACTGTGTCTGTTTCGCCTTAACTAATTTCCCTCTTTTTCCGTGCAGAGCAAGCTCAAGTAAAGGAAATCCGCTTCAATAGCAGCAACCTGAACACCCTGGAGCTCCTGGAGCTTTGCAACAAGCACGTCTCCAGCCTGGCCCCACCCGAGGAAGTGACCAATAAGGTTCTGACCAAGGCAGAGAAACAGAAGCTGGGCGGCGGCAGCAAGAAGGTGTTGAAGAAGAAGTAGACGTAGAAATTGAAGGCTTTCATCATGGTAAAGAAGCACAAAGGCACCCTGGCTGTCATCGAGCAGATCTACCAGGATATACCCGCATTTTCCGACATCTTCACCGAGGAGAGTTTCTACACGTTCGCCTTTTGCTTCGTCTGTGCCACCATACTGGTGGCCTTTATTCTCTCGCGGTTTATCACCATCAAGCCAGTCGACTTCTAAACTGTTAGTCCAACCGAAATTCTGCACACGTACATTAAACAACTTAAGCTTTAACATGTACAACTCCACTGTATTGTATTTTTGGGACGACTGGGCAAAAGGGCAGCAGCTCCAACGACCGCACCGCTGTACTGCATCGGGTCGGTGGTTTCGCAAACCGGTTTTGGCAGCTCTAGCAAACCGGAAAATCATCTGCTCCTGCTGCTGGCTGATGTTAGCAGATGAGATTCAGGGAGAGAGAGAGTTGGAGTCCAGCCAGAGCATTTAATTCAATAATAATTGGGGCCTCGAGGAAGTCAAGCAGACAGTTTTGCTGTGCACAAAATGCAACAGGCCAGGCACACAGGAGAAATACAGCAGGTACAGACGAAAGCTCCTATTCTCGAAAACCCAAGACAGCTGTTAAGATGGAGTTCCAGTTGGGTTTTTGCAGTCAGTCTCCCCTTAGTTTTTCTTCACTCCCACGCAGAAACACAAAAAAAAAGAACAATCCAACGAAATGAAAATACAGTCAAAGCTTTTGGGGTAAAGTTTTAAAATGGCGGGCCTGTGTCTGCGTGTGTGTATCTGTGTGTGGCAACAACTACAATACAATGAGAAATCGATGAAATTTCTGCATACATAGCGAGCCAAAAATGCAGCAAGACAATCTGTTGGAGTGTGGCAGCAGCTGCAAACCTGGTGAAAGTTTCTTTTGAAGCTGAGCTGTCAACTGGTAACCGCAGCACCTGAGCACCACGCCGCCGCCACAGCCTGCCTTTATACTAACGGTTATTAAGAGTAACTGCTGGTCTAGTTGTAACTGTCTCCGTCTCACAAGTTCAATGTCAAGCACATAACTGTGGCTGTCAGCCATATTGGAAATCAAACTGTCCCCATGGGAGGGAGTACGCGTAGAGCAATTGACTTTTGTCTGTCGATTTACTGACGTAATTTGGTAGCGTGGGGGGTAAGAGAGTGAAAGTAGCTGCAAAACAACCCTTCTAAATTGGATGGGACACATTTACCAATACAGGTGCAATGATTTTGGGGGACTGTCCTTCAATACAATACATTTTATTAGTGGCAGCATACACATACTTTCTCCGAGAGTACATATGTATGTGTAAATAAACGGTGACCTTTCTGCCCAAAACATAAACAGAAACGGAAGGAAGCTTAAGCTCTGCTCTGTTCTCCGGCACTTGGGAGCATACTAATGTACTAGTAATACATACTAGTGGTAGGTAGCACTAGTGGTCCTGCTCGCACAACCTTGTGCTCTTGAAAATCTCCCATAGCATATGCTCAGGCGCCATTTATGTTTATTTTTATGCTCCTGCACAACCATTTTTTTGGTGCAACCGGAATCGTGGGCGACCAGAAGTTCCTGCAGCTGTTCTGGAACACTCGAATATGCTCCTTGGTGCGCCCAATTCCCAGATACTTTCTTGTGTGTAGTGTGGGTGTGGGTGTTGGGTTGTTGATGCCGGCACTGGGGCCAGGCCAATGTTTACTCACCTTATCGCAAAAATGCAGCTGACTTGGAGGGACTGGCTCTTGCTCGCCCCCTATCAGCCAATCAGCGACAAATCGAGGCTAGTTTCCGTTGATAATTTTCTTGTTGGAGACTGTAGCAGCTTATGACTTTTCTCGGAAGGGCACTCATTAAAAAAACGTTTACTGGCTTCACTGAATGAATTGCCGTCGGCCTGCTTTTTTGCCACTTCGTCAGCGATTGACACGTTTTGGCCCTGCTGGGTTCAGGCTCTTGGTGCTCCTGGGGCAGCAGTTGGGGTACAACGATTCTTTGGTTAAAAACAAGAAATATTTGTATGTATGTTAGTGCAGGAAACACGGTTGCCTGCTGCCGCCGCAACGCAATTTCTTTCGTGGCTGCTGCTGTTGTTGTTGGTGTTGCCAGATCGCTGAACACGCACACATGCACACGAGGCAGATACAAACACATGCATATATATAAACGAAAATGGCAAATTTTGTAAGCTTTTTTTTTTGTTTATTTGACAACACAACACACACTTTTTTCGCGCTACCTATCTATGCTTGTGTTGTATTTTTATTCAGATACTTTTTTTGCAAGCTTTATTCGCGAATGAGAGTGTTTGTGAGCGTATGAGTCAAAGGTTGCTGATGTGTGTTGCTGGCTTTGGCTCTTCTCTCTCTCTCCGTCTCTCTTAGTCACTGGATTGTTGTGTTGTTTTTTGCATTTTGTTATTGCCGCAAATATGTACTTTCCAGTCAATACAGACATGCTAAAACACTAACACCCCCACACACACACATACACTTAATAACACCAGCACACGCACATAAACACACAGATTTAAAGCACAAAAATTGACAATTAATTACTTGGAATACACGAGGCATTCACTTCTTAATTCACCTGGAAATCGGGCGCTGAAGATTTGTGATTTTTTTAAGGGATGAGATCGGATCGTTTTGTTATGTGAGAATCAGGCAAAAGTATAGCGAACGCGCGCGCGATGCAGATACAACTTATGTGCTTTGCCGTTTTGGAATTGAATAAATATTGTCGTCGAGAGAGAGATACAGAGAGAGAAAGAGAGCACACACACGCTCACAAGCACGTCGCTGTTGTTTTTTCTGGTGTGCGAATGTATGTGTGCCGACTCTAAACTGCCTCAAAACAGTTAATGGACGTGATGTGCTTGGCTGGGGGCCAGACAGGGACAACCATACAAGCGCCAAGCACAGGGGAGAGATTTTGCTTCTCCCACCAAACGACCTTGGAGTCAAAACATGAAGCTCACATAAATCATATAAATCGAATATTGAAATTCAAACGTTTGCCATACATAATGTTTCTCTGGCATCTGGTGGTTAGCTTTTTGCCATGCCAATTTATTCACAACGTAAATAGTATTAAAAATGTGCAAAAAAAACTATTGGTTTGAAACGCGTTTGATTTTCTTGCGTGAATTAGTATTTTGCTAGACAAGTGAATGCTATTTCTGTTTCTCCTCCGGCTTCTCTTCGGCCGGGGGGTTTTCCTCCTTGGTGACCTCGGGCTCGGCCTTCTTCTCGGTGGAATCCTTCTCGCCACCCATGGTGGTTCCGGCAGGCAGGCTCTTCTCTAGGGCGTTGACAAAGTCCTCTAGATTGCCGGAATAGGCGGCTGCCACGGCATCGTTGGAGAGCTCAAACTGCTTCACCACTGGACCCAGCTGGGCCGATTGCAAGGCATTGGAGAACTGGGCTAGGGCCTGCTGGAACTGTGGGGATGTAATGTGATCCTTTATCTGCTGCTTTCGATCTTCATCCGCATCCTCCGACTCGGGCAGGTGCACAATCAGCGACTTAACGCGCTCCGGATCGGCAATAAGCTGATTGATGGCTTCCGCGCCCGAGAGGGCCGTCGATAGGTCGATGTTCAGAGAACGCCCTGCGCCATGTTCGGGGGAGAGATTGGATAAATACGCTTGGAATGGATTGGCATAGGCTCCAGTCGTTTCTGATGCTGTCGTGGTTGATGAGGTTGAGTTCTTACCGGAGGCATCGGCATCTAGGGACGAGCTGGCACTGCCAGCGGTGTCGCTCTGCGAATTCAGATTGCTGCGGCTGCTGCCCGACTTGGAGCCCTTGGGTGCGGTGGGAGTGCGGGGCACACTGATGTTCTCGGGCGTTTGCAGCGCCGAGGCGCCTCCCGACGATGAGGTGTTGCGAGACGACGGTGTACGTGAGCTTTTGTGGGTAGAAGAGAAGGTCGGCTATCATATGGAAACGACAAGCGAGCAGCGGCAATCAAAACTCACTTCATTTGGCCCAGCAGAGAGCTCAGCCCTCCCATTTGGCCCACACCGCCGAAGAGCTGCATCAGCTGCTGCTGCGACATGTTGTTCAGCATGTACTGCAGATCGCCGTCATTGCTGCCACCTCCGCCGCCACGCTGGTGTGCAGAGGGCGGATTGTTAAGGAGCTCATTGATGCGACGGCAGTGCTCCTCGTCCTTGTCGGTCTTTGGCTCTTGCATCCAGAAGAACATGCGGCGCGTCGAAGACTTGAACTTGAGCACATAAACACGTCCGGTTTTGCATTGCTCCACGCGCTTGTACTCAAAGTCATCGGGAAAGACAATCAAGTCATCCTCGACCTTGCCGGAGGTGCGATCCTTCCAGCAGAAGTGCATCAGGCCATCGTCGGATTGGGTCATGTAGACCGAACCCTTGCGCGAATCGGGGTGCACCATTTTGCCCACCATATTCATGCGTCCGGCACGAAACTCCACCAAATTGCTGCTGTTGCTGGAACTGCCAAGTCCACTCTGTCTTCCAAACATGATGCGGGAGCTTCTCGAGAGCTGCAATGGACACACACACACAACACAATTGGGTCATAAAAACCTTAAATGTCGATTCATGGTCCTATATGTATCGCGTTTTGTTCTCCACACCACGGCACAACAGCCGAAAGTATGGCTCTCAGATTTGTTATATCTACATTTTGTTCGAAATACTTACAGGATATATATTGTGATAAATTTAAATGATTTTTGGAAATATTCGGTTTCAATGACGAGCAATAATTTTTTAGTGATGGGAGCCAGGGTACTTATCGATAAAATATACGTCAGAAGACTGCCCTCAAAAATATACCAAAATATACCATCTAATTTTAAAAATATACCGTAGTCTTAAATCACATTCCTCGATTTTGTTGTTCTATTTGATATTATTAGCATGCGGAGTCTTTGAACACTGAAACAATAATTTAATCCGATTGAGGAATCAATTTGGCGTATTATAAACACTCCTCTTTATTGGAGTGTATAGTATACCTTATCTTATATTGTAAAAAATATTATTTTGGCATCACAACTGTTCTAGTGCTACCCTTGGGAAAAAGGATATTATATAATTGAGGAAATGTTCGAAATCTCAGGTTCCCATCAAGGCAAAAACCAGATAACTGAGATAAATGTATGCAAAAAAAATACAATGAATAGGTTCAACAAATGAATTTCCACATTTAATTCTTCTAACGAAATATTTTATTCCACAAAACGACATGGTACAAATGACTTAAGATTCTAGGTATTGTTCATCCAAACTCCACTGCGTGAGGGGACAGCGCGCGGAGTTACTTTTTACACATTGTACAAAATGAGGCTTCAAAATTGGCAACGACCAATTGGTTGGACAAATCAAACAATTATTTCAATATCCGTTTCGATGATCAACTGAAATCGGGGATTCCGAGCGGTAGGATTGAAGAAAAGAAAGCAAATGTTAAGAGTAATAAAGATTAAGCAAACACACTCTGTAGCTACATGCAATCGATGGGTTATTGGGCACACAAATATGGACAAAATAATATATGTTTGTTCTTATGATTAGGTACAAATGCGGGACAGAGGGGGTTACGGATATTTATATATACATATTCTATACATATGTCATTCAATATGAATGAGTGTGCGCCGGATTGCCTGGTTACATACACATTTCGGTCGGCATCTAAACATTGTTGTTAACGCTTGTGGGTTGGGTGTGCTAAAACGGGTGATTAAAATCTTCTTGATCGTGGTTAGCGTTATTGTGTGTGTTCCCTATACAGTCTTTAGAAAATGCAAAAGGTATGCTCGTACTAATAGCTTCGTTGTTTCGATTCTGATTTGTTCGGTTTGGCTGCACTTACAGGCACATCAAATAAATTACAATGAAAACCATGTTAGCAACGTGAGGAACAGACAAAATATAAATGAATAGAACAGATTATGTATGGCAAGGAGAATGGCAAACGTCTAGTAACAAATGAGATGAGCAAAGACAAATCTCGCTCTCTTCGATTAATGCTGATGTAGTGACCGACGACGACGACGTCAAATCAATTGTTATAACTCATTCTCCATATTTGAGCGTACGTTTCGCAGCACATTGTGCGTTTTTAGTATTTGATTCTTGATGTCTTTTTCGACTTGTGCTTTTGCTTTGTTAGCCAGACGCAATTTTTCATAGGTGTCTTCGAATGCGCGCTTGGTGCGGATTAGCTTACGCCTCAACTCAGCATTTTCTTGATCTACCTTGGCACAGTCGTGTGCGATTGTGGCTGCTGCAGGGGACTGCTGCTGCTGTTGCTGGGACACATTCAATGCATTCCCAGTGTCAGGCGAAACGGGTTCTGGAAATGGAAAAATATTTAGTGGCATGTTCTTTCCTTTTACAAATCGAAATCCTTTATGCTTACCATCTTTAACACCTGACAGCGTGTCATTATTCAGTTCCACAGTCGTGTGTATGGCCCGCTGTGTAGCCGTACACAAATCCACGCTGGAGATCCGCCCAGCATCGCTCTCTATGCCCAGATCTGGCGAGGAGCTGTTCATGCGACCCACCACCACTGCCATGTTGGCTGGTACGGTGGAGTGAGTGCCATTTGGTGGTCCCATTGGCACTGCCACCTCCTCCGAGGTGTAGCCCGACTGCGATACATCGCTGCTGTTGGAACGAGCTGGCGGCTGGCGCTGCTTCTGGCCATTTTTGAGCAGCTCCAACTGCAGCCTCTGCTCCTCTGTGCGCTTCTCCAGCTGCAGCTTTTCGTTGTACGCCTTGGTACGTTCCATGACCGCCTTGGAGGCCTGCAGGGTGCTTTCGTCCAGCTGTTTTTTGAGCGCGCGCGTAGCCAGCTCGTTCTCCACGAGTGTCTGCTTCAGCTCGATCTCGTTCTCCTGGTGGTACTCCAGGGAGCGCTGCAACTCGAGCAGCTCCCGTGTCTGCTCCTGGTATACGCTCAGCGCCACCCAGTCCCGCTCGAGCGCCTCCTGGTGCAAGCGTTGCACCTCCTCGAGCTTCTGAGCTGCCTCCAGCTTCAGTTGCGCCAACTCAGCCTGCGCCTGGTCCACAGCCACGGCATGTTGTTGCTCCATTTCGAGCAGCTTCTGCTGTGCGGCCTGCAACTCCATGTCTGTGACTTGCGCATCTGCAGTCAATGTGCTCTTGGCCAGCTCCAGCTGATCGATCTGCTTGGTCTTTAAATCAACCAGACGTTGCAGCTCGTCCACCTGCTGATCCTCCTGCGTTCCTATGGCCTGCAGTTCGGCCTTCAGGGCCTCATTGAGGGCTCGCAGTTGCTCCATTTGCTGGGATATCTCCATGCAGCGCAGCTGCTCCTGCTTGTAGCGATTGTCCAGATCCACCATTTGGCACTGAACGTTCAGCACGCGCTCGTCCCTCTGTGCTATCTGCTCCTCCAGCTGGGCAATGCGCTCGCTGTGGCGACTGCGCTCCTGTCTGGCTGAGCAGGCGCGTCGCCCCTCACTCTCCGATTCGCTGGCTCGGTGCTCGGCCGTCGCCAGGCTGTGGGAGGTCTCCTCCAGTCCGATGCGGGCCAGGGAAACCTTACGGTCCGGCTCGGACCAGGCTTCCGATTCGCTCTGGTTGTCTAGCTGCTGCATGGGCAGGGGCAGGGAGCGGCGTTCCTTGCGCTGCTGCTGCTGTCCGTCTGTGCAGCGACGCTTCTCCAGCTCCCGCTTCAGCGCCTTGTTCTCGGCCTTCAGATGCTCCAATGTGGGACTGATGGTGGCACCAGCGCCGGCAGAGGCAGCGGCGCGTATCTCCTCGTGCGAATTGAACGTCTTGTGGCTGGCATCGGCCTCAGCATCGGCATCGGCATCCGCATCGGTGTACAGAATCTCCGATAGATTACACAACTGGGCGAGACTCTGATCGGCCAGCGAGGTGCCAGTGATATTCAGCGTCATGTTGAGGCTCTTGGACAAGTCCAGACTGCGGTCGACGGCACGACGCATGGCGTGCCGCCTGTCAGCAGCCAGGGCACCCAGCACATCCTTGTGCTTGAGCAGCGAGTTGAGGAACCCGGCCAGCTCTTCCAGGCGATTGGTCAGCACACCACACACATCGGCGCACTCGAGGCGCCACTTATTCGCGCTCTCAGCGTCCGCCTGCACCTGGCGCAGCTCCTGCCGCAGTTGTCCAATCACCGCACTGTTCTGCTGATCCTCTCCCAGGCGATGGATGAGCACGTCCACCTTGCGCTGCAGCAGCTTGTTGCGTTCCAGGGCCCTGGTGTACTCCAGTTCGGTGAAGGACTGCTGTAAGTCCATGGAGCCATTGGAATCTTCGATGATTTGCGGCAGCGACTGCTGCTGCAGCTGCTGCTGCTGGTTGGCTGCCACCAATTTGGTCAGACGCTCCACCTCGCGGTTCTTCTCCCACAGCTCCTTGTTGACCAAATTCTGTAGATTTGCCGTCTTCTTCTTAACCTCCGCCTGCAACTGTTTGATCTTCAGCTCCTGCTCGGCCATCGTGTGCTCGTATTGTTCCCTAAGGGCCGAGGATATTTCCAAAGAGCAAGCCTCATTGTCACTCAGCGAACGCCCAGAGCTTGCCAATGGCGATATGCTGGCCTGACTGTTCTCCTCCTGCAAATACAAAAAGTGTTTAAAGGTTGAGGGTCAATCCATCCATTGCCTGGCAGCACTCACTTCTTTCTTAACAGAATTTTGACCTGGCTGCTGCTGCAGCTGATTGAGCCTCTTGATCTCCTTGTCCTGGCTGCTCAGTTTCTGCATCAGCTTCTGTATGGTGCGGCAGGCATGCTCATGGATGCGTTCGCGCTCCTTTAGCTTCTCCTGCGCATCCTGTAGCTCGCACATGTTGTCCGCCAGTTGGGCGTCCATCTCCTGCTTGGCCTGCAAGTAAAGAAAGAAAACGAATGGCTATAGTCTCACATTGGAGTCACAAAACTCGCATTTATTGGCTGGAATAGCAGTTGGAATATTTTTTATAACGATCAATTTGATGCTTTTCTCCCACCCCACACCGAAAAATGTTGAAACAAAAACAGAAACGATGTATCCACGTTGGTTACTAGAAGCTCATGTTGCCCCACTTTGTGGCAATGAACTGCCTAAGGCGGGCAAGGCTGGACATTGTGTAGCTTTGCAAGGGATTTCCTGGCATGCGGAATGCTTGTCTGGCATAGTTATTGTGCAGCTGATTCTGTGGGCGACGTGGGCGTTTTATTGGTTGAAAACTACTGTCGATGCGAGAGGGTTAAGTCACCTTTGCTGCATCCAATGGCCAGTTTGAGATCAGCGCCGAGTTGCTGGCAGTGCGCTGCAGCTCAGGGGCTCTACGACAATCGCTCAAAGGAAACATAACCACCGTCTGCTGGCGCATTTGGGCGGTGAGTAAGGTTAAAGGCTCTTGATGTCGCAGCAAGTACATATCCACATGCAGTCGACTGACAATCGTCTCGTACTCGTCCACGTCCACTCTACACGTTAGCTGCTTGCTTTGCCCTTCCACTTTGCTGTGGGTTACCTTACTTACATTTGCCTCGCTGCTGCACTGCTTGTCCTTCTCGATTTGCTCCACCAGTTCGGCGTTCTTGATGGCCAGCTCCTCGATCTTGGCCTCGCAGGAGGACAGCGTCTCCTGATGCTCGGCCTGTGCCGATTTCAGCTGTTCCTGGCAGGCTATCTGCCGCAGGCCGGCCTCGACCAGTTCCTGCCTCAAGCGCAGCACCTCAGCGTCCAAGTGCTTTAGCTTTTCCTCCAGCAGCGCTCTGGTGTCTCGCTCAACGGCATTTTCCGTTTCCTGAAATGTCCAAGTGGAAAATAATAATAGAAACTGGCAAACGCTGCCTTTGAGCGGCAACACTCACCTCGTAGTGGCGCAGATGCTGCTGCAGCTCATCGATCAGCGCTTGGCTCTCGGCCTCCGCTTTACGCTGCATCTCCTCGTGCAGTGATATGGCCCGGGCGGCGTCCTTCAGCAGCTCCGTCTTCTCCTCGACCGTCTTGCGCAGCACCTCGGCCTCAATCTTGGCGTCGATCAACTGCTTGGACAGAGACTCGCCCGAATGGTTTGTGCGCTGGTGCCCCAGCTGGCTCTCCTCCATGAAGTAGAGGCGCAGCTTCAGATTGAAGTTCTCCTTGCGCAGCGACGACATCTGCTCCTCCACGTTCCGCATCGAACGACCACTGGCCAGTGGCGAATGGCTGTCGCCCTGCAGTCGGCCCGCATCGAAACTGGCATCTGTGGAAGACGACACCAGGAAATAATTGAGTGGAAAGACCCAACAGAAAGAGTTTTGTGTTTGATGCGCACTGCTATTGAACAGCTTTCGCGACATGCTGCGATTTGGCGTTCGATCCATGCTCTTGTCGTTACGTTTTTGTGTCGATAGATCCGCATAAAAAATATATTATCAAACTGAATGACTGCTTGTGTGTGTTGCCTCGATACTAAACAAGTATGTGAAGCCTTGAACATTAGACGAGCCGCCTACTAGGATCTGTTTGCCTGGCCAACTGCTACTTACATGAGTTATCCATGGTGACATCTTGCAAGACTCCGGGACTGGTGGAACTGGAAATGGATAGAAAGTGAAATGCTATAATTAAGGCTCTGTGAATGATGACCTCTGACCAGCCAAGAGAAACGAAATAACTTAAGCGTTAATTAATATTTTATTTGCACACATATTTCGGCAGTGATGTCATAAATCCCACGACCCCGCGTCTGACCCCGTCAGACCCATCGTCAGCCACAGTCTGCCAGCTCTGACTCACTCTCTGCACAGCTGGTGCTGGTTTCATTGCCCGCCTGGAAGCACTCATCGATGCCAGCAGCGTCCAGCGTGCCGTTGCAGTACTGTCCGTACACCGACCAGGCCGTCCAGCCCTGTTGCTTCCGTATGACCCTGGCACATTGCACGGCCATGGTAATGTCATCGCTCAGCAGCCGCGTGCAGTTCACGTTGCACTCGTTGAAGGCATAGTAATCCGTTTGATTGGGCGGCGAGCACCAGAAGCGATCGCTGATCTGGAAGAGGCCATAGTCCCGGGATCCATCCGCATTTGCCTGCCCCACCGCATGGGTGTTGAAGCGGCTCTCGAATTCAGCAATGCACAGCCACAGTGGCAGCTCCGACTTGGGCACGTCCAGGATGTACAGCTGGCCGGCCAGATCGCAGGGTTTCAATCGAACGGCCAGGGCCACAAGCAGGAAGCACAGGCATAGCAGCAGCGATGGGCAGAGCACTCCACCACTTGTTCGGGCCATTCCAAGTGAGTTCCAGTCACGTACTGGCGCCGAGACATTGGCACTGAGACGCTGGCCATCAGCTGTATCGGAAAGCTGTATACGGAATCCAAACCGGTTTCAATTATTTGGCCCGATCTGTGAGTGCAACACTATTGCTTTGTGGCTTGCATTGATTGCACTTTAGACTGGCGGCTATTAATTAATTACATGCACCTATTTGTACGCTGAAAACTAGATGTGAACTGAATTTCCAAAACAATCCTAGGCTATTTACGCTGCGATTTTAATGATCTCCAACTCTTGTAGGCTCTCAACTGAAGCGTAACAATGATAGCTTGGCGGGTTTAAACTCTTTTTGACTACCGAACCCTCTTCCTTCTCACAGTTCTGACATCTGTTCTATGGGAAACACACCCAAAACCCATTCAAAGTTCGGTTCTGTCATTTATTTTGGCAACTGAATTTGAGTTCAATTCACAGTTGAATGAGCACAAGTCGCATGACAATTAGAAGTAACTTCCGCCCCCTAAAATCTGTTGAGAGACATTTACTTACCAAAATGGGTTGCTGGCCGAGTTCAATGAGAAGCGCTTGTACGGCGACGATCCCTGTGTTTCATTTGAGTTATTTAGAGACGTTGATCGAAATATGCCCGCCATAGTTGAGTTTTTCACGTTTCCTTCCACATTGGGCACTTTTATTTGTAATTATTTATGGTTCACTGTTGCAGAAACTCTATATTTGATATTTAAATTGGTTCGTGTTTTATTTAGTTTTTAATTAAGAGCAGACACGTCACCGCTTGATGTTGTTATGTTGTTGCTGTTCTTGGGTTTATTCCCTAAATACCTCACGATGCTGCACGGCGCACGGCGCACGGCACACGACACAAGTTAGACGACAGACCACAGACTTCGTCCCGTCCAAAGGGGCGGGCAGGCAAAACTATGAGTCATTGGCTGCTGCCGTCTACAAATTAAGAGCGCAGTGAGCCGTAGGACGGAAGAAGCTTCAAAGAACCCGCGAACCCGGTGGATAGGCATGATATATTCCTATGGATTGGATGGACCAAGCACTCGATGCACATTTTAGCACAGAGCAGGCCGGCCCCCCCAACTGTACATAGATGCGCCAGCAGCACTCGCGCACAAAGACCACATTTATTTTGGGAAATTAGCAAAAATTTGCAAAGGAATAGCCGCACGGCACGGCACGGCAATAGAACGACAAATGCTGGCCAGGCCAGAATGCACAGGGCTACGCGAAACTCTGCCAAACATTTGCACTCAATTGTTGTGGCGACGGCTCTGTCCGTGCCATAGCTATGGTTACAGAGGCTCTCTTGAAAATCAATCGTCTCCCGAACAACAGGTGGACTCTAAGCAGAGCGGTGGGAAACGTGTTCGGACGTGTCCTGTTGACACCTGAATATGTGCAGTACATTTCGGCTTTATGGCCCAATACCGCGCCAGGTATCCGAACTAAACGATCCCATTCCCGCCGCAATTGTCTACCTGGCTACCTGGCTACCTGGCGCGACTCTCGAGTGGGTGTCAGGCTATGGATAATGGCACACAAAGGCGCCTGCAGTATTCAACGGAGCGATACAATAACAATAAACAGAAGTGCAGGCAGAGCATATCGAGTGATATGTGTGGGGGAGGGGGACACTTCATTTACCGTTAATGTGGCGACTCTGAATATACATACATACAAACGGTACACCAGACACTGTACTTTATCCTGGCAAGGGTAGGCAGAGTGCGCTTTTACAGCAAACAAAGAAATCCAACCCCCCTCCAGGGGTCATCATCTCCTGCTACATACACGTGTAAATATGCACTACTACATGCACATGTGTCACGTCCAATGTTTGTCTGATAAGGCGGGCTGGGAGGGCTTGGCTGATACGGGTGTGTGGATTGAGCAATTGGGAATCAACAAATTAATTTCTATACTTTTGCGCGACTAAATTTAGCCGCAGCATCGCTGGCGACAAAACAAATTAACAACAACAACGACACAAACAGGGCGCGCGAGATACTCTACATGCATACATACATATATGTATGTATATTTCATTATACATCCGCATACAATCATATATGTATGGGCATGTACTATGCATGAAACAATTATAGTTGCTTCATGGTACTATGTATGCATTTCCTTTACATTTTATCTACAGATTCAATTGCATTTATTTACATGTATATATTCTGTAACTTCACTGTTATCTTCACTTATATATACAAATATGTATATACACACGCACGATAGGGACAACGCTTTTGATTAATTCAACTGCAAGTTTGTTTTCTTATTATTTACATATGCACATGTATTTATGAGTGTGTATATATGTAGAACTATAACGAACAGCGCAAGCACAGCAAACGAGTAGAATATCAGCGCGAAATTAATTCAAAATCTTCTACGTCCAAATAAACCGAAAGCCAGAACTTAAATGACTGAACAAAAACGCGAGGCATCGCCGAGACGGAGAAAATCCAGCCTCATCTGCTCTGAAAAAGGAAAATGCTCGCACACACTGAAAGCAGATGTTACGTTACGCATTTTCCACTGTACCCGGAGCGCATTGTGCGCTGCTCTCGCTTGCTCTCGTGAAACTTTTGGGGTGGGTAACAAACGCGACGGGGGCAGTACGTCCATACATATGTATGTATGGCATATGGCACGTATGTACATAGGGGAGGCTTTCACGGACTCGGAGAGCCACCGCAGAGAGCGAGCGTATTATTCTCCGATCAGCAAATAAATAAACTGCTGGCGCACAGTGGGCAAGATCGGGCACATGGCCATCATCTGTTCTGTGAAACAGAATCCTCCCATATATCGGTAAATATTATTATGCATTTTGGGTACTTACTCGTCCACACTTTTTGACAGTGCCTCTGCCAGTGTTCTCAGCACTTTTCTGTCTATCTCGGCCGCTCCATTCTCCTCAAGGAAACTGGTGACAGTTTCAATAAGTGTAATTTCCTTCAAGGACGAGGCGCAAGTGAGATTTGCATTGTCGCAAATGTCGCGAAGAGCCTGCTTGGACTGATCCATGGCTGTGTGTCCCGTTCAGGGTAAATGTTACTACACTGTGATGATTATATTGCTTATTTCAGCGGAATTACTTATTTGAATTTAACAAGACAAAAACCTCAAAACACAATTTGTTTTTTTTTGGAAAAATTACCGCGCATTCACAGCTGTTTTCGGCGTCTACTATCGGAAGATTTGCAGCCCTGGCAGAACACAGCGTAGCCAGACAGAAGAATTTAGTTTTAAAGGATGGAGTAGATTGGGTTAATTTTATTTTGCAAGCAATTCTATTATCGGATAAAACCATATTTTTATCGCTGAGAATCACAACTAGTTGGTAATATTAAGCAGAATATAAAAACAGAGGTAATGAAATAGGATATACGGTATATTTTGAAAACTAAAAGGTATAGTTTGGTATATTTCTGACGGTTGGGCGATAAACTTTATCTATAAGTCCACGGTCACACTGGTCCCAACCCCCAATCGAGTGTTTACAAAAATTTACATTTTTCTGATAAGCAAGTAGCACACGCTGGAGACAGATATAACGAAATGCCATAAACGCTTGGCAGGCACGTTTACTGAGCGCCCACCCACGTAGCTACAATATTCCATTCCGTTCAAACGCATACACAAAAAGTTTCGATTCGCAACAGAAGGAGGACGACCCTATTGGCCTCGTAATAGTAATCAGAATGTTTGCGACGCTGAAAAACAGAATCAAGGAGGAGACCGGCGAAGATGTGTCTACGTCGGCATCTCAGCCGCAGCAGCAGCCGCAGCGCTATGCTAACAACAATAATTATCGGCTACGGAGCCACCGAGTTAGCATTAATTCCAACTCGACTGATGATGTGGGCGGTGGCATGATCTACAGCGAGGTAAGAGGAAAAAAACGTCTATTTTTGTGTATATAAACACTGGGAGTATGGTTTCACATCTGTTTTCTTTTGACATTCGATGCGCCTCAAGTCTGAACAACTGTGCCAGCTGCGGAGCCAATGCAATGAGCTCACCGCCAAAGTGTCCAGTCTCAGCCAGAACCTGCTGCAGCTGCAGGAGGAAAAGTTGCGCGTCGACAAGACCAACGAGATCCTATTGGAAAGCGTGAAGGTGGCCCAAATGCAGAAGGATATGTACTGCGAGGAGCAGGAGAAGATTCAAAATCTACAGCAAGTGGAGATAGACAAGCTGAAGAATCTGCTCAGCTTTCGCGAGCAAGAAGCCGTGGATCGAATGGGCTCGATGCGTCAGCATAGTCAGCAAATTGAGAATCTGGCCGAGGAGCTGGAACGCCTGCGACCGATTGAATCAGTTGCAGAAGACTTGCGGGACGAGCTGCAGCGCCTGCGACATGCGACACAGCAGGAAAAGAATCTGCTGACCACCACGCTGGCGACAGTGCAGGAGGAGAATCGGAATCTAAAGCTGCGCATGAATATAGTAGAGGAGTCTCGACTGGAATCCCTCACCAAGCTCAGCCCAGAGCAGCAAGTGCAGGCGCTCATACGAGAGCACAAACTGCTCGAGCAGCATCTGGAGGAAGCCCACCTGCAGCTGTCCGATATCAAGGGTTCCTGGAGTGGGCAAAACTTGGCGCTGGAGACGCAAGTGAGTCGACTATCAAAGCAGGTGGCAGAGGAAACGACTGAGAAGCGCAAGGCGCTCAAGGCACGGGATGATGCCATAGAGACACGCAAGCAAGTGGCATTTGAGCTGGAGAAGGCCATCGATGAAATAAAACAAAGAGATGATAAGGTAAGCCAGTCATATATCCCAGCATCAGTGTTCTTATACCGTGTTGTCACAATTTGAGCGCAGGTTAGGCTACTGGAGGAGGAGATCGATGAGCTGAATCTGGCTCTAAAAGAATGTAGAGAGGAGAACGAGCAGCAAGTCATCTTTGAGCGAAACAAATCTGTGAGTATTTCCACTGAAGCTGACGACTTGCAGTGGGACTTGTCGCACTAATTAAACCGCATGATTGAGTACTAACCCAAAACCTGACTAGTAGTTTGATTCGTTTCTAAAAACCCATTAATATTTACCAACTACTTATGTATGTACCTCAGTTGAATGGTTTTTGCTTTCTATTAAACTGTTTTCGAATTCAATTGGTAGCTTCTTTCCTTTAACAATATTTAAACACGAATAAACTGCATTTTCTTAGCAAACTCTGGAAGCAGAGGTTAAAGATCTCAAGACACGTCTCGGCGCGGCCGACGACAGGTTTGACGAATATGCGAACAATGCCGAACAGGTGACAAGGAAGCTGCGAACCCAACTGAGCGAAAAGCAAGACCAACTCGAGGAGACGCTGATCCAATTGGAAGTCGAGCGCGAGGAGAAAATGACTTCAATACTTCGAAATGCGGAGATCTCTCAAAGCGAAGACATACTACGGCAGCAGCTGCGGCTCGAGCGTAGCGAAGCAATCGACTTGCAGGATAGAAATAAGCAGCTTGAAAATGACATGTGCGAGTCCCGGAAAGCCCTGCAGCAGGTCAGCAGTGCAGCCCAGGAAAATATACAGAAGCTAGCAGAGTATGAACAGGTGCAGCTGGAGATCATGGAGAAAAATAAGGTGAGATGGTTGGAAGTGAAGTGAAGTGTTGTTGGTACTTAGACTCAATGTTTTGTATGCTTTGGCGGCACAATCAGACAATAAAGACGCTGAACCAGCGTTTGGTAGACCTGAAAAAGACCCTGCAAAAGGAATTCCGTAGTTCGCAAATCTCCTCAGAGAGTGATTCCCATCATCAAGTGATCACTCCCTATAGGAACCACACAATAGCGCTCGAGTCGCTCGCAGGCGGTGACAAAGCCAACTGCATCATAATGGACGAGGTCAATTTCCAATATCTAAAGCATGTCATTGTGAAGTTCTTAACAAGTCGAGAGGTATGTGGTTACACTGTGTGTTTTCTCATAATCGAATATCCTATATCCATCTGTTTGTGTACGTCCTGTTAGGTCGAAGCCCGTCACCTCATCCGTGCCGTTTCCACATTACTGCAGCTGACATCTGAGGAGGAGAAACTGTTGCACGACACATTAAACTGGAAAATGAGTTGGTTTGGCATGAAACCTGCTTAAAACACCTACCCAGAACCCTTTGCCCTTTGCAATATTTCACATTTCTACTTGTCTACTTGTCTCCTAGTCTGTAGTCAAATTCATATTGTTCATGCATATGTACAAATTGCATTCGCCGCACCCACACTGTGTTATTTTGTTTCGTCAACAAGCATTCCTTTTTGTTATATAGTATTATTAATTTCTACCGTTGTGATTTTTATAAATAAAAAACTTTTGTGCAAACCATATTATCTTGACATTGGAATCGCCCGTTTGCTTTTCCCGGCACTCAAAGAACTTGAGGGTATGTACGATTCGTGTGTATGCATGTGGCAGCCAGTAAGCAGCGTTTGCGACACCATAAAGTATATAAATTCTTGACCAGTGACTATTGGAACTAGCGAGGGCATAATACTGTGCTATCACACGTATATTGGCTCTCTCAAATGACGAGAGTCTGTGGCAAATTAAGCTAAACGGCGTTTTAAAATCTAATAAAATCCAACTTGCCGCCATTTGTCTTCTTTATCTTCTTCGTTTCGTTAGCAACACTGGCACGCACATGAACCAGTCGTCATCGATAACTCTCGGAACCAGCATGGTTGGAACCGCAAAACAGTAACTTAATTCAAAATAAATATTTTCAAAGCCCCAAGGCCATCTCACAGCCGGCAAACATTAAAAAAGACTACAAAGACCAAATGTAATTTTGTTAAAAATACTGGTTTACATTTAAAAATATGATTTGTTGTATATTCTTTTGTTACAATTAACGTTTACTAAAATTACCTATAAATATGATATTTATTGTTGTTTAAGTATTGATTAAAAACAAATAAACACACATGTCATATGAATAACTAACTATTCATTTGTTTTAGCTACGAATAAATCATATAGGATATACATACGCATACATGTAGAATAAACAATAATAAAACACACACATTATTGAGGCACTTTTTGGTGTTTATAACGATTAAGAAGACATTTCGAATTACATACATCATAGTTGAGCAGCTGTCGTCAATATTGCTTCCTTCCTCTCACAAAAGTATCAACTATTTACATACACTTGCCAACAGAAATGCATATTAAAGTAAGTCTCCAAGTGGTACGTACATAAATGCTTTCGGATCAGCGGCTGAAATTATTTGTAGATACGACGAAATCTTTTGTGGAAATTTCTGGCATTCATTGTTTGTTCTTTTTTTTCAGAAAATTTGGCACTCGGAATTTTAAAATTTGTTTTCTTATCAAATACTGTACTTTTATCGTATATATATTGTATCGTATATGTGTCGTATCGTATTTAAAATCTATGGCTAATTTCTAATAATTGCATTTCGCTTACAAAAATGTGTTGCAGTCTATTGTTGGCGCGTATCTTAATGATGCATTGTACTGCAATCTATTTCGGTATCTGGCAAAATGAAACTTAACGAGATCGAGAAGGTCCTCCTCCAGGCATTTTCACCGCCCCAGCCCGCAGCTCGATTGAAGTATGGGGGCATGGGGCGGTGGCGGCGCTCTTTAAACTAACTTTAAAAATAGTTAAAGCCTTAAATGACCAAATTATAAACACACATACATATTTACAAAAAAAAAACATAAAATAAAAATAAAAACGTTACAGAAAGTAGAATTGTGAAAATTAAATTAAATTAAAAATTAAAACACGCTTCCCATCCATCCATCCGTTCGTCTCAATGTTTCTCAATCGCCATAGCCATAACTCCAACTAAATTCATTTAGATGTAAATCTCAAAACGTTACGTAAAACCTCGACTGGGCGACTGTACAGGCGATGGCGGTGGCGGCAGTGGTGAGAAGTATGTGGAGCTCCTCGACGACGGCGATGGCGGGCAGGAGGACTCTGGCACGATGCGCACATCGCTGTGGTAGTGCGAGCGCGGCGTTGGTGGCGGCGGATATGGCTCGCTGTCGTAGCCATACTGCAGGCAGGCGGCAGCCGAGCTAGACGAGTGCTTGGTCGCTCCGCCGTTGCTGTTATTACTGTTCGATTTGCTCGTGTAATTGGAGTCGGACTCGTCGCAGATGTCTGTGGAGCAGGGCGTGGGCGGTGGCGGCTGATTGATGATCTTGTAGTGCCTGTAGGGACGCCGCGATCGGGTGGCCGGCGAGGGCGGCGGATTGATGGGATATGCCACCATGCTGCTGCCATTCGTGGTGGAGCTGGAGGCGCCCGTGATGTGATTGCGGTCATACGAGTTCATGCTGTTCCGCGAGTTGAGCGTGGACATGCGCACCGCATCCGCCACTGAGGCAATCTTGGACACGCGCTGCGACTTGCTGAGCGTCGAAGGCGACAACGGATCCGAGGCCTGGTCATCCTTTGGCTCTGTGCGGCTCTTGCCGATGCGCGTGCGGCAAAACTGCAGCAGATACACAATCGAGAAGATGGTTATCATGGTGGCCCCAATCAGTATCATAAAGGCACGCTTATCCGATGCGGGGGCCATGCGCCGCTGCAGGCAAATATCGGGCGACTCGTCCGCACCGTCGGCACAGTTCTCCCAGCCGTCGCAGAGCAGGGCGGCCGAAATGCACAGCTAGAATAGGGAATTGTTAGCTTAAGAATTCTGCGAGTAATTCCTCCACTCACCTTGTTGATGGGACACTGAAACTCTCCTGGCCGCTTGCAGCAGTCGGCCTCATCGTGGCCATTGTCACAGTTGGTGGTGCCATCGCAGACGAGAGCCTTGTCGATGCACTCGCCCGACTGGCAGCTAAACTGATCCGCCCGGCATGTGGGACAGCCGACCTCATCGGACTTGTCGGGGCAATCCTTTTGGCCGTCACAGCGCCACGAAGCGGGTATGCAGTCCTTGTTCATGTCACTATTACCCGCCACTGGGGCCGCGCACGTAAAGTGATCTGGCCCGCAAGCTGGATACGCGCCGCAGTTCTCCTTGTCCTCCAGCAGCATCAGATGCTTGGGGCACGAGCAGATGTCGCGAGTGCTGCGTGCCACACCCTCCCCGCTGGCTATGCAGATGTGGGAGCACTTTGTGCGACTGTGCAGACACGTGTGATTGCGCAGCACTTTGGCATCCGGTGTCCATACGGCACGGATGTCGGTGATCTGCGGCAGTCGCTGCAACTCCGCGGAACGACGCTCTCCATTGACAGTGATCCGCTCCACGCCGGTCTTGTCGTCCAGCCAGTACACAAATCCCCCCAAGGCGGCAATATTAATAACCTGCGAGATGTGCATGGAGACGAGGGTTTTCCTTTGAGGGAAAAGTGGAGATTAGTACAGACTTCTTCCCATATTCTTTGCGCTGCTTACTTGTTCTTTCCGTTGATGTCTATCATATCGATGCGCTTGCCATGGGCATAGTAGATCATGTCGGACTGTTGGTCCAGGGCCAGGGCCGTTACTCCTTCCAGCTTGTATGCCAGCTCCATGCGCTCGTTGCCATCGACACGGGCACGTATGATGGCCTGATGGCTGCCGACATCTGTCCAGAAGAGCAGACGCTTCATGGCATGCACGGCAATGTTGCGCGGCTTCTCCGAGTCCCCAGTATCGATGACGCCCACGGATTCACCCAGGAAGCTAAAAGAGGCAACGTTTAGGGAAAACCCTCGGATAAATGGAAGAGCGATAGATATTCACCTCGTGACATTAATGCTGTTGGAGTAGGAGCATGTCCAGAAGAGCAGCCGCCCAATAATGTCGATGGCAATGTCGAAAGGCTGCCCGGAGTTGGCCAAGAGGCTCACCTTTGTGCCATTTGCCAGCGAACGCTTGATGCTGTGACTTCTGCCTTCGATCTGCAAGGAGTTTACAAATATTACAGCTTAGAGTTCTCCCCGTGTAGCCGCACTCCCAGTCCACTTACCCAGTAGATGTAATGCGAGATCGGGTCATAGTCGACTGCTCGAATATTCTTGCCGGACACTGGGAGCGGCACATTCGGGCAGTCTGTGGTGTTCGGCAGGAGTCGGCCGAAGCTGTTCCGCTGGCTAAAGATGATGTAGTTCTTGGGCGGAATGCAGGAGACACCGTCCTTGGCCAGTTGGTAGTGGGTGGGACAGGCACAGGTCATGCCACGTCTGCCGGGCTGGGCCAGGCACAAATGGGAGCATCCGCCGTTGTTCATCTTGCACGCATTCGCGCCCACCTGTCGCTTGTCGTTGAATACCAGCAGCGAGGTGATGTACGTCATGCCCGAATGGACGAGGCTGCGGTTCTGGCCCGTCGTCTTGTGCACCCGCTCAATGTCGCCGGTGTTCCAGTCGCTCCAGTAGACGTAATCCTGGTACAGGGAGACCGCATACGGCTCGTCGGTGTCGCTGCTGCCGACCAATATCTGCCGCTTCTTGCCATCCCAGTCGGCGCTCTCGATCTTCGCTGGCCGCGACTGTGTGGCCCAGTAGAGACGCCTCGTCTCCTGGTCGAATGTCAGTCCCGCCGCATGATTGGCACCCGCTATGATCGTCTGCAGCTCGGCTCCGTCCATGGTGGCGCGTCGTATGGAGTCCGAGGGCGACTCTGTCCAGTACATGTAGCCGCGTCGCGGCTCGAGGACCAGCGAACGCGGCTCCTCCACACCCTTCCACAAGAGCACGCGCCGACTGCTGCCATCGAGGCGGGCGACCTCAATGCGACGGGCCTCCGCATCGGACCAATAGATGTTGCTGCCCAGCCAGTCGACGGCAATGCCCTCCGGCCCAATCAGGCCCGAGTCCACGATCCGCTGCACATAGGAGCCATTGAGGAAGGCCCGGAAGATGCACTTGCTCTTCTGATCCGTCCAGTAGATGCGCCGCTCCGCCACCGACACGTCCAGGGCGTGCGCATCGCGCACATCCTTGAAGGGTATCCGCTCGTCGTTGTGGTTCCCCTCGTTGTACTCTATCGAGATGCGGCCAATGTGCTCCTGGCGGGAGAACAGCAGGAAGGCGGCCGGCACCACGCACGTTCGCTTATCGTTGGCCAGCTCATAGTCGATGGCACAGCGACAGACGTAGTCGCGGGGCCGGTTCAGGCAGAGATGGGAGCAGCCTCCATTGCCCACGGCGCATGCATTCTGGCCCCGCACCTCCCTCAAACGGGTCACCTTGAGGCCCATCAGATCGGGATACTGATCCACGACGACAATCCGATTATTGCCCGTGATCTTGTGCGCCCGATCGATGGAGCGCCGCTGCCAGTCCGTCCAGTAGAGGTAGTCGTCCAGGATGCTCAGGCCAAAGAGATGCTTGAGGTTGTCGCTGATCACCACACGCCGGTCGGAGCCATCCATGTTGGCCACCTCGATCTTGTCGGTCTTGCCGTCGCACCAGTAGATCGTCTTGGCCACAATGTCCAGGGCGATGCCGTTGGGCCAGCCGAGATTCTCGGACACGAGCACCACACGCTCGGAGCCGTCGAGGGAGGCACGCTCCACCTTCGGTTTGCGCTCGTTCCAGTCGCTCCAGAACATCCAGCCCAGCGATGGGGCCACGGCAATGGCTCGTGGCTCCTCCAAATGCTCGTAGATGAGCACCTTCCGAGCGGAGCCGTCCAGGCGGCACACCTCAATGCGATCCGTCACCGTGTCCGTCCAGTAGAGATTGCGGGCCAGCCAGTCGAGGGCCAGGCCATCGGGATGGCGCACCTCGGAGGTGACAAAGTCGGTGACAGCCGTGCCATCGGCCTTGGCACGCCTGATCGTGTAGGCCTCCACATCGGACCAGTAGATGTGCTCCTCCACGGGATCGTAGTCGATGGCAATCGCATACTTCACCCGGCCCAGGGGCAGCGGGAAGATGGTGTAGTCCGGCGAGTCCAGCGAGATCTTGCTGATCTGCGTCCGCTGCACAATGAACAGCATCTCCTGGGAGCCATTGGCGCAGCTGTTGCCGCTGATCAGCTTGACGCCCGTGGGGCAGGCGCAGCTGTAGCCCTGCGGATTGGTGGCCAGCAGGCAGAGGTGCGAGCAGTTGCCATTGTTGTGGGCACAGGGATTGTCCTCGTACGGCTGCAGCGATGCGTCCCAGGCACGCACCGAATTCGGGGCCTTGGGCGTGTCGATCAGCTCCTTCAGCTCGCGCGTCTGCAGATCGAGGGCATTGAGGGAGCCCCGCTGCCAGTCCGTCCAGTACAGGCGGTTGTCGAAGTACGTGAGGCTGAAGGGATACTTCAGATTGTTGACTATCGTCCGCCGGTTGCTGCCGTCCAGCTTCATCACGTCGATGAACCGATTGTTGCCGTCCGTCCAGTAGATGAGGTCGCTCTTTAGGTCCACGGCCAGACCGTTGGGCCAGAACACATTGTCCTTGACGAGGGTCATGCGCGACAGGGGATCACCGTCCATGCTGGCCCGCTCGATCTTCGGATACTCGCCCCAGTCCGTCCAGATGAGCAGACGCTTGCCGGGCACCACGGCCACGGCTCGCGGCTGATCCAGCTCCGTCCAGAAGAGTACCTTCTGGTGCTTGCCATCCAGGCTGGCCACCTCGATGCGATTCTTCTCGCCATCAGTCCAGTAGATCTTGTCCGTATACCAGTCAATGGCCAGGCCCTCGGGCTTGTCCAACCCCGTCGATATCACAGTTTGCTTCGGCGCCTTCGACAACGGCAGCAGCGTGGAGGAGTTCGTCTGCGCACACTCGATCACCTCCCGGCCGCAATCCGTCCAGCAGACCAGATTCTTCGCATAGTAAAAGTCAATGGCCATGGCCTCGGCCAGATCCCTCACCAGCACATCGATCTGCGGCCCACCCGTCGGCCGGGTTATGTTTGCCACCTGTATATCATGCCTTGTGGTGAACAGCAGCGTCGCCGGCGTGTTGATGAACGCATTCGAGGATGACGACGACAACGAAGACGACGAGGTGGACACCAGCGACGAGGAGATGGGCCCATGCACTGCAAGTAGACAAGGAAACATACAATGTAAATGTACATACATATATGTAAATGTAAATGTAAATGGTTTTAGTCAACGCTTGCTTCAGGCAGTGGGCCGAGCCCATTAACAATTAAGTAGAAGAGAACATGGCCAGAATAGGCATTGTTGCAGCACCAGCAGCAGCAGCAGCAGCAGCAGCCAAATGCAATGCCAGAGAGCTTGAATTGGCTTTTGTTTGCACACGTGGGTGGGTTGGTTGATGCACACTCCCAGCTCATAGCTCACAGCTGCGCGCTGCCTAATAAGCGTTGCACCGGGCGCTTGGGCGAGCGCGTGCTTGGGCGTGCAGTTGCTGATATATGGGGAGATAGTTTTTATTTACAGAATCTGGAATTACACTCACAAAATGCAAACTTATCGAATACCCTATCGACTGCTAGTGATCACACGCAAGAACGCAGAATAAGTACTTATATTGGCGCTAAATTTGCGTTAATGCGTCTTGCGTTTGTGTGTGAAAACGGCAGAAAAATATACCAAAAAGACGCTGCTTTTATGTCTTTATTATGCTTATTTAGATGTAATGTTCTAAAGATCTGTGTGTAAATACAGAATTTTAGTGCATTTTCAAGACAATTGTTGAGCTTTTTCGCTTTTCAATTTGACCCAAAACGCAACAGAAAGGAAGCTGGCAACCATGGGAGGTGGAGAGAGTAGGCCGGCAGCCAGGCAGGCACTCGTGTTATTCATCACGATGCTGACGATGCAAATGGTGACATTTTGCAAAGTGGGTTGGTTGCTTGCTTGCTTGGGTGCCTGTTCGTATGCCGTCAAGCGTGAATGCTTTCCGCCCCCGGCCACCAGGTGGGGCAACTGAATTAATGTGCCAAGTGTGTGTAGATTGTACACATATGTATGTATATATGTGTGTATATGTATATAATTTTATGTAATAGTAGGAATGAAAATAACTTCCTACTCGCTCTTCGATAATACCATGGCCAATGCGGGAATCCCAACTCTGCTATAAGCTACCATAAATCCATAAAAATGCATTGTAATCCCCGATGAGGATGCTCGCTGAATGATGCTTGCACTTTTCCTCAAATCCTTGCATTTTATTTACATTTTGTTATGCACTCGTCTCTGCAGACGGGCAGCAGCGAAGCGTCAAGAAATCAACCAACATCATTACCAACAAAAACAGAAACAAAAACAACAAAATACACAGAGCAGACATGGATCCTCCATCCAGATGGAGTCTGGAGTACCGCAGCAGTCTCCACACTCGACCGAAATTGAAATGCAGACGCAGACGGATATGGAGATGGAGTTGAAACCGTGGAAGCAGCCAGAAGAGGAGGCTGCTCTGCTCCGTTCTGCTCTTCATTCAAAACTTGGGAAAATATTTTAATTATTAATGTATACAACCATCGCTGGGAGTTGTGTGGAGGTTTGGGTTGGGTCTGGGTCTGCAGTCCAAGTGGGACTGGGACTGGGAGTGGGAAGAGCTGCAGATGGAGCCTGAGTAAATGGATGCCCATGTGAATGATGCTGCGACGATTGGCATCTAGCGTTTGGCTTAGCTCTGCTCTGGTTTGTGGCACAAAATGGCATAATTCGGATGACCGAGTCGACAATTTTAACGCCGCACAGCACAGCTCGACGACGGACTCTGGAGGTACATGCACCTGGTGGAGGAGCAGCAGAGGCACAACAACTGCACTTAAATGCTAAATGAGTGCAAGTGCTGTTATTGTTAGGCAACAGAAATGGGTGTGTGTTGCTGTGGTGTGTGGTTGGCAGCGGAACGGACTGGAATCGGAACGGGTATTGGTGTGCCTAAGGGGAAACGAAACTTTTGCGTATCCGGCGGTTGGCGTGGCTGTAGTTGTGCGGCTTGAAGTGAGCATTGGCCGGTGGCAGTGGCAGGATGTTGCCACTCTGCTGCCTCTAACCAACACTGGCAGCACTCGAGCAGTGCTGATGTTGCTGCTGCTGCTGCTGCGAGTGCCAGAATTATGTGTCCAGGCACGCTACAGTGTGGAGTGGAGGTGGCAGCACCGTTGGCTGCTGTCTCCGTTGCACTAGTTGCAACGGAAATTGCAGCTATTTAAATGTGTTGAAGAGGCTGCCCCAGGCCAGGCAGCAGCAGAAGTTCACCAGGCAGTCAGCCATCCGTGCGGTATGCTCCTGCTCCTACTCCTGCCTTCTCTTCCTGTCGCTCTAGTTGTTTTTGCTCACATTTTGTATTCGTCCATCCGTTGTTTTTTTTTCACCCCCTCTATTCATGGTGGGTGTGTGGCTACACTGGCAACAAAACAAAGTTGTTCAGCACTGGACATGCATATCGCATATTAACGCTGGGAATGTCCTTTCTCACGTTGCTTCTAGATTATTTATTTATTTATTTTATTATATGTAATTCAGTCACTCATTAGATTTTCGTGCAGTGTACTCAAGAGCTTCGCTTCCCACGAGCCATAATTAATTTCGCTCATGAATAATTTTTAATTAAATGTGCAGAAGCAGCAACAGCAGCGAAAGGGGCGGCAAGGGGATAAAATTACGCGGAAAAGGCAGCATTGAAAGGAGCAAGCAAATGCTCCTTACTTATCCCCCTGTCAGCCCCTTTCCCCAGACAATTATGAGAGCACAAAATACGAGTATGTTGCATGCCAATGCCATTCATAATCCAATTGAAAAATATATATAAAAAGAGAGAGACAGAGCAGTGGCATCCGTTTCTCGGTAGGAGCAGCCGCCACTTGAGGGAAATGAGGTCTCAAGGAAACTCCCTCCGTAATGAATTGTGGCAACTGTATAGAGGAAACCCTCAGCTACCGTCCATTGGGATGTCTATCACATTTACACTTTACTCTTCGACCGAGTGAAGCTCCAGTTGAAGGTTCAATCATTTCTGAACGAAGAATGCTTTCTATCAATTACTCGCACCTCCACGCAGCCACCACGACATAACACTTCCCAGACGATGACAACGAGCCAGAGCTGTGTCCAAGCGAACGATGGATAGACAGACGAGGCAACAGAGACCAAGCAGAAGCAGGAGCACCATCATCACCATCGTAAAAAGAGGAAACAATGACAGGAGAGTGTCCAAATGCAATTCCCGCCCAGTAAATGAAGTTAGAGGCAACCATCCAAGTCTCCCTTCATTCCAATCAAGCTGCTGCGTGTCCACACATCCACGTCAGGGAGAGGTCTGTTCTTGTGCTAAAAGTTTCCATTAGCTTCCCATTTCACACACACACACACACGGAGAGGAAGCAGAAGTTTTCACTTCTTTCAGACACTTTCAGGTGGGAAGGGGACCCTGGCACTCTCTGGGCTGCTGTGCTGTGGTCTAAAGTTTCAGCAATCTCAGGTTCTGCCGTATAATATGCGTACCATTCGCAAACTTATTCATTGCTTCGTCAATCGTCAATCAGGCGTTGACATGCAAGTTCCGCCCTAATGGACATACAGAGACGGGCAGGGCAACAGCAACAGAAACTCAGGGAGGATTCGAATCTAACAAGAGAATGACTTGGAGCGGAGGAGCAGAACACCTGCCCCCCGAAAGGCAGCTCCAAAGTTATTCAAGCAAAACTGAGACACGAATACCACCACACTGCACACTAAAAGGAAGAACAAAGCCAAAGCCAAAGCCAATGCCAACGTCAAAACCAAGGCCCAAAGCGAAAGAAAGCAATTTTGTGAAAATGTTGGTGGTTTCTGTATTGCTTTTCACGTATTTTGTTGTTGTTTTTTGTTTGTGCATTTTACCATACAACACGAAGGAAACATGAGAACAACATAACAAGGCACATGGAAAAAAAAACACACAAAAAAAAAAGGGAAAAGATAAAAAGGCAAAGATACAAAGGTAGTTTCAGTCTCAGTCTCAGTCAAGGGATCCCAGCCAGCCATCCAACCAGCAGCTTCAGCTTCTCGTTCACTCATTTAAATTATCAACACGAAGAGGGAAGCGAATGAATGCTGCATGTTCTGGCAACGACAAGCAACAGCCAGCAGCCAGGCAGGTGGAAGGAGCTTCAGCTCCGCTCCAGCAGTGGAGACTCTGGCGAATCCACTTAACTTCAAGTTAACACATATGCTTGGTTGCCTGCCTTTCTGGCTGCCTGCCTTCCTGCCTGCGTAAGATAGTAATAATCATCATCCCCATGATGATCACCAATGAAGTTTGTTTTCTCTGCGGTTCGCTTCGTGCATTCGTGATGCTTTTTTGTGTGTTCCTTTTAAAGTTTTACCAAATTGTTAATGGTTATCAAGGGCAAGGCGAGGGCCTTCCCCGAATCTTTGCTTTCAACCGAAAGAATCCCACGACGACTTAAGCTACAAGATTAAGATAAGGATGCTCCACATCAGCATGTCCTTGCTTCTTGTGCTGTTCCTGTATTATTCCTCACAAGCGACTACAAAAAGAATAAACAAAAACAAAATACTTGTCGTGTGCATGACATCAGTTTCGCTGATAAGTATTTTGGTTTTGTTACTCTCGGACTGCTTCCGCATTAATATACATTTTGGTTAACAAAAATCTTTTGAGCTGTTGTGCCAGCCCTGGTTGGCGCTGCACCTGCAAGCCCATCCCTGGGAAAGCTTTAATTTAAAACCAAAATCACTGAAACGAAAATGTTCACACACCTACTTAAAAATGTAATCGCCGCGTGCTGTTGATGGAGCGGATGGATGGAGGATGCGAATGAAAAATAGAGGGGAGTGGGTGACGGGTTGGGTCCCCCCAACCCCTGTCTGCTCAGCCGATATGACAACTGGCCATTAACGTTAAAATAAATACGCTACACGCCTGGCCTGGCCCCGACGCAACGCCAATTGCCAATTGCCAATCCCCCCCAGCCACGAGTCGATGGAGACGGCCCAGAGACCATAATGATTATGTTGCTGACAGCAAAGAGCCGGACGGATCGTTGCTGGAGGCAGGAGACCAGAGCGGAGGAGCAGCAGTGGCTGAGCAGAGCAGAGTGGAGTGGAG